AACTAGTCACGAGACAGGACTTACAGGATGAACCAGCATGTTCAATCTTAAAACAAGCCATGTAGACAGATACTCAGGAAGGCATTTTTCCAAATGAAGGAGAAATGGAGAAACCAGGTTTGAAAAATATGTCATCGGAGATATTATCCATTATCATTAAATATAGATACACACTATAGAAGGCAATTAATGCTATTTTTGATTCCTGGCAGAAGTTGAGATGGTGTTTTGTCTGACTGCTACAACATCAGGGATCGGGGCTGGGCCTCAATGGGGAGGTGGAGGAAAAAACAAAAACTGCAAACTCAGCAATTGGGGCCCCTTGGTGGAGACAGTTAATGCACCTCCTCACTGCAGCAAGGGCTGTATATCTCCACGATCGTGAGGAGGATGGAAGCAGCCCATGGCTTACAGCGAGGATGCAAAAGGACGTATGAGTTGTGCGCAAGCTGTGTAAGGCATGACCTGTGGAAAGCGGCCGTGAAGGTTCGGTTCACCTTAGCACACACGTGCTCAAGCAATAAAGACAGTTAAAACCTGCATCTCAAATATATCAGGAAAAATTCCAGAGCAAAGCAGTTTAACTTAGCAATATTTATTTTGTTTAATTTAGCAACTAAGAAAAGCGGCATCACATATATATGCATGTCTCATGGATATAGAGTGTGAATCATCTTCTTTGCCCCAACGGATCTTCTCAGTACTCTTGAGGAAAAATTACGCTTACTCCAGCCATTTCTCTAGGTTTGGGGCATCCTGGTCTTATTTCAACCCTTTTCACGTGGAAAATTCCTTCCTGCCTCACTGGCTTGTCTTCCCCAATCTCTTTCCTATCTAACATTGCACAATTTTTCAAAATTTAGCCCCCAGTGTTACCTCCTCGGGAAGCCCTTCTTGAATGAGCCTGGCTCTGTTCTCCTCCATTCCTGCCTCTTCTGCCGGTCTTGGTTCCTCCCCACAATTTCCTCCAGTTCTCCTAATGGTACTTCTTACAGATTTCATTATTTTTCCTTTCTTTCTTCTTCCTTGCCCCCTCTCTTCCTGTTCCTTTGTCTTCTCCTCCCCATCCCTTCTCTTTTCTATGCCAGATCATAATACCCGTGAGAGAAGACTGTTTTCCTCAGCAGGTTTCAGTAGAGGAACTGGCTGGCAAAAGTAGGAAAGATACCTTGATTATGAACAAGGATGAAAAAAAAAATGTGGGTTATCCACATTTCAGTGTGTGGCACGGTAGGATTACACAGGATTGCAGCTCTGACATTAATTTTTTCTTGTATTCCAAACTACCTTAAAGTCTGAGGAAGCAGATGAGTGCAGACCGTTCTGTGTGCACAGCAGTCAGCAGAGTAACCGCGTCCTTACCCAACAGTCTCATCATGCTCCAGCTTCTAAAATTCTGGGGGAGTTTGAGCACATTTTCAAGAGTTCATGCTGCTCTCGGGCCTCAGTCTTAACGATATAACGAACACCAAAGAAATGTCCAGAAAAGAGATGTGTTCACCAGTTTTCGGTGTCTTGTCGCCAAGAGGGCCAAGGCCTTGACCTTGCTTTTCTTTCCTCTGCTGAAATAGACACGAGCCACGCATTGATAGTCCTCTTGACCTCATTGTGCTTAAGGTCTTAATTCTATTTATTTATTTATTTATTTATTTATTTATTTATTTATTTATTTATTTATTTATTTATTTATTCATTTATTTATTTATTTATTAGATTTTGCCTTGAGACACTTTTTTGGTTTTTTCCAGTGACTGTTTGTACTGGGGACTTTAAATTGTTTATACATGCTCATTGTCATTCTCTAGTGAATTTTGGTTTGTTTTGAGTCAGGGTCACTCTATATAACCCTGGCTGACCTGGAATTTGCTCTATTGACCAGGTTGGCTATAGAGATCCACCTGCCTCTGCCTCTTGAGTGCAGGAATTAAAGGTGTGTGCCACCATACCTGGCCTAGTGAATTTTACTAAAAGTGTAAAAGTGATCTCTATCAAGACCATCCTTCAATACTTACATTGTTACCTCATTGAAATCCACATCTAATAAAATGCTAATTGACAGCATTTGGAGGAAAGGAGTTTTTGAAATACTGAAATCATCATTACTATTTGTTTTTTAATTGGAGAGTCAGAATAAGTAGTTTGTGACATTATACCTTGGAAAAAATAATTCTGCTACAATCTTTCTCCAGTTTGCTCCCATGTATTGAAGTTAAATACGTATATTTTAAACAACAAAAAAAGATGCCCTGTTTTCAGACAGAAAACCTTTTAACATGCAGAATATAACCTATAAATTAAACCTATTAACATGAAAACAGAAATCATCCAGTGAGAATTTATTTTTATCCCTTGTATTTAAAAGTAAACCACACTGAACATCATCATGAGCTCTGGTTAATGTCATTTAATCCCAATGGCCTATAAGGGTTTTTGAAACAGAACGATTTTATTCCTTAACTCCACACCTCTTTTATTAACAATAAGTTAATAATATTACATCTGCTTTTTATGGCTTCTCTGTTGCCTTCCATGTGTGACCTTTTCTCTTCAATGTACTGTCCAGATTGTCCAGAAGATTCCTTCTTTGTCTTGTCTGCTGAGGGTTCCCTTAAAGAAGGGATGAACTCGCAAATAAAGGCAGGTAAGCCTGTTGAACTTGAAGCATGTGAACGTCAACACATGTATTTTACAACATTGATTTTGGTTTTTTAGAGAACTTTTATTTATATATTTTTCCATGAAAAACTGTTTTCTGGACACACACACACACACACACACACACACACATACACACACACACACAAATAAATGCATGAGTAAGTAATAAATAGTCACATGAAGGTTGGCATGGCCCCAGGCTAATAAACAGTAAAACTGCAAAACAAAATCCCCCAAAGTGAACCAATGGAAAAGGCTGAGCACACACAGTCCAGAGATGTGTCAGCATCGCCTCAGAGACAAAACACAAAGGAGAACAGAGCTAATAATAAAAGTAGTAAGCCAGACCGCTCTAATGATTTAATTATAAAATTTAGAATAGTGCTCTAACTACACTGTGTTGAGAAGCTACCAGGCCAGCAACAATCATTTAACCACAAAGTCCAGAATCATTATTATAGCATATAAATGATAGTAGAAATTGTAGATGTAACCAACTGTCTTATTAAATAAGAAACACAGAAACAATGTAAAAGAGAAAGCCAAGAGGTCAGAGCTCAGAGCTAAAATCTCACCCTTCCGCCTGCTGTCCCAGCTTCCCGAAAAAGAGAGCTATATCCTGTCTGTACGTCTTTTTTATAGTATTTTGTTCTGCCTTCTCATTGGTTGTAAACCCAAACACATGACTGCCTCGTCACTGTCTGAATGTACAGCCCCCTAGGTCTTAAAGGCATATGTCTCCAATGCTGGCTGTATCCCTGAACACACAGAGATCTATGGGATTAAAGGCGTGTGCCACCACCGCCACACTCTGTCTATGGCTCTAATAGCTCTGACCCCGGGCAACTTTATTTATTAACATACAATCAAAATCACATTTCAGTACAATTAGAATACCACCACAAGAAATTTACAAGACAATGTAAAATATTTAAATTTTAGCAAATAGAAGACTTCTCTCCCACAGGTACAGTGGAGGACAGCACAGTTGAGGTTTGTAGAGTTAGAAGCGGGTCTGTTGAGATTCTGTGGTCCTGCTCCTTGTGAGGACATTAGCGCTGGGGAAAGAAAGCCTTCAGGAAGGAGACAACAATAGCAAAACATAAAATCAGGAACAACTTTTGGGAGAGAGTTTATTATCAAAATAAGAATTATCTGTTCTGAACTAACTCGATTTAAAAGTTTAATAAATTAGAAGTGTTTTGAGACCTGACAAAATAGAATAAAGAGTTCTTCACCCATCTTCTGGGTAGTAATATCTAATTTTGGTACAGTTATCAAATTTAGGAAACGGACACATAATTTACTATCAACTCATCTATAGATCTTACTCGAACTCCTCCAACTTTCCAGCTACTGTTCTTTATCGGGGCTGCTGTCTGACCTGGTACCCCTCATTCTGTTCATCATGAGAGTCTCGTGTGTTGGGACATTTCCTCAGTCTTTATATTCCATTTTTGCACCTTGAAACCTTTCAAGCATGCTAACAAGAATTCTGTAGAATAAAATAGCCACAAGTTTAAGTTTCTTTGTGTTTACTCATGTTCTAATTCCAATTATACATTTTGTGTTTTTGGTAAAAGCAATGGAGAATTAGTTATCTACTCATCTCAGTGTATCTTACCATGCGATAAGGTCTACTTTATTGTCTGAACCTAAAAGTGTGTTTCAAGCTTATATTTTCCCTATGTCTAATTAGTGCTGCAAATACGTACATTGGTCTAGGACTACAGGCTGTAGCATGGGCTGCCTGCCTGGGCTCCCAACCCTAAAGAAATTGGCTTTCCCTCCTCCAGCAACTGTCAACTACTGATCGCTCCTCAGCTGGTGTTGGGACCTCTTGAGGTCCTTTTTGACCCATCTGAGATTTAGACCGTGTGGCTCTTCCACATGTGGTCATAGTCACAGCTATTATGAGCTGACGAGTGTCACATCTAGCAGACGTAGCAGTCCTCGCCAACCTCTCACTCTTACAGTCTCCTTCTTCCTCTTCTTTGCTGTTCCCTGAGCTTACTTTTCAAGAAGCAGTCTACATCATTTATTTCATTTCACCACCATGATATTGATTTGGTTTATTAGTAAGCCTTTTATGTAAAGTACCTTAAATCTGATATATAACTTGTCCGAGGTTCATATATCATTGGTATTGCTGCTTCATATAGAAAAGTGCAAGTCTCTTATCTTGAGCTCATGTCTGATCAACAGTATTGAATAAATATTAATGAGCTGCATGCTGTGGATATTGTTCTCTATAAATAAAACACTGATTGGCCAGTGGCCAAGCAGGAAGTATAGGCAAAATAAACAGAGAAGAGAATTCTGGGAAGTGGAAGGCTGAGGAAGGGAGACACTGCCAACTGCCGCCATGACAAGCAGCATGTGAAGATGCTGGTAAGCCACCACCACGTGGCAAGCTATAGATTTATAGAAATCGGTTAATTTAAGATATAAGAACAGTTAGCAAGAAGCCTGCCACAGCCATACAGTTTGTAAATAATATAAGCGTCTGTGTGTTTATTTTATAAGTGGGCTGTCCGACTGCTGGGGCTGGGCGGGTCCCGGAGAGAAAACTCCAACTACACTGCATATGTAGTCCATATTGGTACAATAGAGATGGATAGGGATGCTCTTTGCTCTTGGAAAGTTCACACTTATGTAGGGTGTTAATCAGAATGGCTGTTGAAAGATATCCTAGACCCTGGGATTTATGAATTGGTTTCTTTACATGGTTAAAATAATCTCAAAAATGGGATTTTGAATAAGGATGTTTATATTAGATTATGTTGGGCTTATCTGGGTGGACTCAAACCATATCCATAATTCCTTCAAAGCGGGGAACTTTTCCCAGTTGAGTTCAACATCAGAAGACACATAGGTAGCTTTGGAAATAAAGGAAGCCATGAGCCAAAGTGTGCAAACATCCTTTAAAACATGGAAAAGACAAGGAAGGGGATTGCCGTTAGAGCCATAAGAAGAAATCATTTTCTGTTCTTTTCTTTTGCTTTCTCCTCTCTCCCTCTCCCTCCCTCCTTCCCTCCCTTCCTCCTTCCCTTCCTTCCTTCCTTCTTTTCTTTCTTTCTTTTTTTTTAAAGAAAAGCAGTGTTATGAAGTTGAGTGGGTAGGCAGGAGGAAATGGTCTGGGAGGAGTCTGAAGAACGTAAAACATGATAAAAATATGTTGTATAAAAAGGCAAAAACCTAAGCTGCACAAGGACAGCACCAATAGACAAGTTAATGTGGACAGAGGAACGCTCATGAGGCCTAAAAAAAAAAAAAACCTAAACAAAATCTATAGCAAGTAAAGAACACCAGGAGAGGGACAAAAAGTCTTTCCCAAAGAAAAACACACAAATTAGCTATCCTGTACCGAATGGCCAGCTCTGAAAATATACACACACAAGTAACATTATAAGAGTGCAGTTATGAACTTAGTATTTATTTATTTATACACGTGTACATATAATAGAACAATTAATGGAAAAAGCTGTGAATTTGAAAGAGTGCAAGAGGGGGTATATGGAGGTTTTGGAGGGAGGAAACTGAAGGGGCAAATGATGCAAGTATACTAAAATCTAAAAATAATAAAAGAAATCATTCAAATGTAAACTAATTAAAAGGAAGAAGGAACGCAATACTGCCAGCACTTGATTGTCCCAGGGAGGCTTGTGCTAGACCTGTCAGCAGTAACACACTTGAGTGTTTAACAGTAACACACTTGAGTGTTTCAGCAGTAACACACTTGAGTGTTTCAGCAGTAACACACTTGAGTGTTTCAGCAGTAGCACACTTGAGTGTTTCAGCAGTAACACACTTGAGTATTTCAGTTCTCTAAGTTAGAGGGAATTTTGTTATAGCATCAGGAGAAAAGCTGATGCTAACGGAGACTGATGTACCAAGAGACAAAAATTACAAAAGATTTTCATAATAAATTTCACCAATGACCCAACTATGTTGACAGCACGAGAATCTAGTGGGAACCATTAGCTATGCAAGGACGAAGAGGAATGGAGACACATCCTGTGTGGCCAGCCTCTGAGCTTTCAGAGATTTTCAGATTTCTCGACTTTTTTGAGCTTCTAGTCAGCAAAGACTCAGTGACATCAACTGTGAAAGAATATTTATTTATCATCTTTTCCTTATTAGCTTACTTGGTTCCTGGGTGGCTGACTGTGAGCTGGGCACGAGCATGTTCCTTCAGTTATCATGATGAAGAAGGATAAGCTGTTGAGATAAAGTGTGAGGGAAACTCAAGCTCATGGGTAGAACATTTATAAATGTAGTGCAGGAACAAAATAAATGAGAGTGGAATGAAGGAAAGAAGGAGGGAGGGAGGAAGGAGGAAGAAAGGAGGGAGGGGGAGAAAGGAAGGAGGGAAGGAGTGAGGAGGGAGGGAAGGAGAGAGGGGGAGGGAAGGAGGGAGGAGGGAGGAA